TTCTACGCGTGTGTGTTCTGGCAGCTTGACTCCTTCATTCCTGTTTCGTTGTCTTCTATGCTGCATCATGAACAGGTCGTGCTGTGGCCAGCGTTTCAAGTTGCGGTCTCTTCTTGGCTTCCCTGGAAGGAAGGGGCTGCTTTTTCTTTATTATCCCAGGAGACCCATAAAATTCCCGAGTTTGACCACATACAACGAAGGCCGTGGGATGTGATGATGATGCTGTTCAGTGAGCTCTATAGCATGCTCGTGCCATTGTTTGTGCCCGATCGGCACTGGATAGCCCTGCTCTCAGTTCTTCGTCAATGCCTTGGAATGTTCCCCCTTGTACTAACAGCCCAGAAAAGGGATTCTAGTACCCCTAAAATCGTCTCTATTAAGGACTGTTAGTATAAGGGTGAACATCCCAATCAGTGCCTGTGACTTCAACTCCCCGGCTATGGAACGCAGTTGACTTCAGGTCAGCACCATGCTCTGGTCGCTCAGACACTCTGACCAGAATTGGTGGCACATTCGTGCACGCAACGTCCAGACTCCTGGCGACAAGCTGTTGGCAATGATGTTGTGCCTGCTTTAGTGGGGGCCCCCCTGTTTGAAGTCCTCTTTTAAGCGTTGCGCGTCGGCAGCCTCGGCCAGGCCCGACGTGCAGAGGTCCCAGCACCCCTTCGCTGACTTTGTGGCGGGTTTCGCCGTCGTGTGGCGGGATTCGCCGTGGGTTTCGCCTCACTGTGCCTTCGCCGTAGTGTGGCGCTAGGTAAGGTTTTCCCGTAGTGTGGCGTTTTGCCAAACCGATCGGCTCGGGAAGCACCCTGTGTGCCGGATGTCTCCTCGAAGGTTCCTTAGAAAGTGCCAGTGAGTGAAACGAACGCACACTCAGTTTGTAATATAAAATGACAAGGAGTTAATGACTCTATGACGCGTGCATTTGTAATGGAAATTTGGGCTTTTACTTCGTTCATCATATTAATGCAGCATTCATGCGTATGACTATTATTCTCTTCGTATTATTTGTAAAAGTACGAAGTGAGTAAGTGAACAAGTAAGCGAATTATCTGAGCGAACGAAGTAAATAGTAAACGCAAAGAACGAAGTGCTCCCTTCACTCGCGGCTCCACGAAAAACCCTACTAAAATACATTAAATTATTACGGAGTCCACGAATATGTATCAAAGCGCAGCACCACAGAAGGTCCATTGGAGTCATAGGCAGCGTGTCTTGGAGGGGTCCTGAGCCGGCAAAGCACCCTGTAAGCACCATTGCTTCTTCAGGGTTTCGGGTTTAGGGTAACAATCCTCGGGTCGGGGTTCTGGGATGTATTTCGGGCGGGAAGTTGATTGGGGGGGTTCTTTGCGGATGTCTAGGCGGTTTTTGCCGAGCCTCAGAAGGTCCCGGCGTCTGAAGCCTTAGGATGACGCTTGAACTTCGTTGTCGCACGCCTTGCGTTCTAAGGGCGCAGCTGCCGTCAGCTGGCTTGGCGCCGTTTCCCATACCCTACGACCCCTGGATTGGGACTGACCAGTTCGATGGGCGCGAGCAGGCCTGCCACACTGTTCTGAGGCTGTAAACCCCGTAAATATACACCCTAAACCTCGAGCCCTGAGCCCCGAACCCTAAACCCTGAAGCGAAAACCCCGAAGCCCGGCACCAAAACTTCGCAAATCCGAAGCTGCAGCCCAGAGGCCTCTTATTGGCTTTCCCTCACGGAGTTTGAGCAGCCCGGATCTTAGCGTGGCTTGAACCCAGCGAGCCTCTCATGGGGTGGAAGAGGGGCGATTGGGGTTTAGGGTGGAGGGTTTAGGATTTCAAGGGGAAGGGGGTGGGGGAGTGGGGGTTTGGGGTTTAGGGCTTCGGAAACCTAGGGGTCGCTCTGAGCCCAGACCCCTAGCCACGTAAGAATGTCGCGCTCAGCCCTCACACCCCCTGTTACCCATAAGCTTCAGACCCTAATCCTACAATCTAAGCCCTCTGACCCTCGAACCCAGTGTCCAGCCGAGATACCCGAGCCTCGGCCACTTCCGCAGCGTCCCGGACCTCCTTAGCCAGCTGCGGCACCTGCGTGTGGAGGACGTGAAGGGGGGCATGAGAGCCTTCAACCAGGCGCCGACATGGGTGCTTGGGATGCCCAGGGGCCTTTGTTGTACCTTCGGGTTGCCCTGCTTTTTTTTTTTTTTTTTTTGGGGGGGGGGGTGGGGGGTGGGATGGTTTGGTGGGGGGGCGGTTGGGGGGGAGGGGGTTGGGGTTAGGACGTGATTGGGATTTAGGGTATTGGGACAGAGGATCAAGGGGTGCATTCTCGAACCAGGATCAAGAATTCATGATCTAGGGACTCGGCTCTGGGATCAGGGATAGAATCTGGCTAGCCGGGCTCAGCATGTAGTAAATTGTAGTATCTAAGAACTAGGACCTAGGGCCGAGGTACTAGTAGTTGGGATCCACAACCTGGGATCCAGGATCTAGGATCTCGGATCTAGGGTCTGGAGGAAGCAAGGATCCAGGATTGAGGAACAAGGGTTTAGGAACCAGGAATCTGGGATGTCGCATTTAAGAGTTGGTATCTAGGAATTAGGACCCAGGATCTGAGAGTAAGGTTGGAACTAGCAAGAGGATCGAGGAGTTCCTGCTGTGGACCCGAGAGGCAAGTCTCAATGGATTCGACAGGAGTCAGACCCTCAAGCCAAACCTTGCGGCGCCCCTCCACACACAAAGGGCGGGGGTTTAGGGTTGAGGGTTTAGGGCTTTAGGGTTCAAGGGTTTAGGGCCAAGGTCAAACCATCGGACAAGACCCTCGGCACCCATCTGCAGCCTCAAAGCCAAACCTCTGGTCAGCTCTACACTTTTAAGCTTCGCACGGCGGCTCTGGTTTCTTTGAAGCATGAGCTCGATCAACAAGCGAGGCAACCTTAAGCCCGCAAAGCTCGAGCCAGGGCAGAGCGCTCGCTGGGTGGATTGTTTCAATGCAGGGTGCCTGGGTGCTTCCAGCACCAGCGCATTTCCCCATCGAGGCACCCTAAACTCTAAACCCCAAGCCCTAAATTCCTCAGGCCATACCCACCTTTTCCCAATTGCTTGGGCCCAGAATTAAATACACCCGGCAGCCATAAACCCTGCACCCAAAACCCAAAACCCTAAATCAAACCTCAAAACCTCAAAACCTCAAAACCTCAAAACCTCAAAACCCTAAAACCTCAAAACCTCAAAACCTCAAAACCTCAAAACCTCAAAACCTCAAAACCTCAAAACCTCAAAACCTCAAAACCTCAAAACCTCAAAACCTCAAAACCTCAAAACCTCAAAACCTCAAACCGCATGCCTTGGCAGTAGTGCGCAGTGCCTACAGAGTCGCCCTGAGAGTGAGCTCACACTCCAGGTGCGAAGGGCAGGTTCCATAACCCCAAGTCTTTTCCCCGAAGCCTTTTTCCCTAAACCCTAAACCCTCAACCCTAAACCCTAAACCCTAAACCCTAAACCCTCAACCCTAAACCCTAAACCCTAAACCCTAAGCCCAAAACCCTAAACCCTAAACCCTAAACCCTAAATCCTAAACCCTAAACCCTAAACCCTAAACCCCACACCCCCAAAATGGGCGACCTTGAACCTGGAGGCCACCCTCCGGAGCTCGCTGGACTTCTACCGCTGGGCTGCGGCATCTTTGCCACTCGCTGCCGCATGTGGGGGCATCTTGGGGTTTAGGGGTTAGGGTTTAGGGTTTAGGGGTTTAGGGGTTTAGGGGTTTAGGGGTTTAGGGGTTTAGGGGTTTAGGGGTTTAGGGGTTTAGGGTTTTGGGTCGAACAGGGGTATAAGGGGGGTATAAGGCAGGCACAAGGGAGGTATGAGGCGGGTTATTGCGGGGCTGAGGGTTGAGGGTTTACAGTTGAAGGAATAATTTCGCAAGTTCAGGAACTTAAGGTCTGGGACGGGTTCTTTGGACTTGGACTTTACGTGTTGGTCTTCGAACATCGGTGTTTTTAAGGAATTTTTTTCGGGGGTTGGGGGTGTAAGTCTGAGGGTTTCCCTTGACCGCTCAAGAGCTTACCTTGTCTTGTTTGTTGTCGCTTGTTTTTTTTCATTACAGCCTGAAAAATAGTCGATTCTTAAGGCAGGGTTCGGGTTCCCAGGCCCCATGAAACCTAAATCCGGGTTCGGGGTTCCCAGGGAGTGCTGTGGTTCGCCCGAGGTTGGGAAACTCAATGCTGCCGTGGGTGTGACTCGACGGTCGAGACCAAAAGACACCAGGCGGGAGTGCCCGGTCTGCCAGAACACTCAACCCTAAACTGCCTTGGGACATGCCACTTTGTCTGCGTATGTCAAAGCCCTAAATGCTAGCAAGCTCCAAACAGGTTTAGGAACCCGAAACCCTAAATCCAAAACCCTAAACCCTAACCCTAAACCCTAAACCCTAAACCCTAAACCCTAAACCCTAAACCCTAAACCCTAAACCCTAAACCCTAACCCTAAACCCTAAGCCCAAAACCCTAAACCCTAAACCCTAAACCCTAAATCCTAAACCCTAAACCCTAAACCCTAAACCTTGACCCTAAACCCCAAACCGCCCCCAAACCCAAAACCCTTCAATCAGGTTGAGGAGCTGGAGAGGTGAAGCGGAGAAGGTGGCGATCCTTCGCGAACTTGCACTGGCCCGGAGGCCCTGCGGTGCCAGCACAATGGGGCCCGAAAGCTGTGGCTCGCTTGTAGGGTTTAGGGTTTAGGGTTTAGAGTTTGGGGTTTGGGGTGGTTTAGGGTTTTGGGGTTTAGGGTTTAGAGCTGTGGGTCGGGCAGAAGTCAATGCTCCGGTCTCAAGCCAACTGGATAACAGCACATGGGAAGAAAGCTTCAAAGAGGACAACAAGGAAAGACCCCAAAGGGACATCGGAATGTGAGGATATACCTACATCCTTCCTGTATACCCAGTAAGCCCATGGTGTTCGTGGGGTTCCCATTCACGGCTATATGGAAAAAAGCCATTGACGTATCCGTAGCCCTGTAGCTGCGCGCCGAGCTCCATGGATTTGTGGGCCTTCAGCTTCAGTGATGATGTGCGGCTGCAAATCTTCGAGCACTTGTGGCCGAAGGAATGGCCGGGGACTCTGCAACCAAGTCTTGTCAGCTGTTACACTGATACAACCAGCTTCTGCCGAGTGTGCTGTGCCGAGGCTCCTGACGTGTCACAAAGTCTGCCGAGCTGCGCGACACTTCTTTTCGCGCCAAGATGTGCGGGAGAGCCTGATCATGGCTCTTTCGGAAGATGCCTTCGCTCTGACGTCCCCGCTTTGGCGTCTGCTAAGGAGCGCAATCGAGCCCGGCTCAGTCTTTGCGCCCACTGCGGCTGTCGCTGTGCAGTCATCACAGATTCCCTCTTGAGACCTCTTGCAGCCCTAAGGCAGCGGACAGCCCGTGCAGCACCAGCATGTTGAAGCCAGCCTTCCTGGTCATGGGCAAGCCAGCAGCTCGCACCACAAGCTGCCGTGGCGGAAGGTCGCGGCTCCTGGGCCGCTGCTTCACGGTGTCGGCGCAGATGGGCCACGTGCGCCTGGTCACCCTGGCGCTGCAGTGCCGGGCCGACATCGAGCAGAGGATCAACGGCCAAAGCGCGCTCGACTCGGCGGCACAGGCCGGGCAGGTGGCGATCGCGGAGGTCCTGCTGCAAGCGCGCGCGGCGGCGGCTCAGACGGCGCAGGGCCGATGGACTCCGCTGATGCGCGCCGCACAGGACGTCATTGCTTGTTGCAGGGCTCGTGTGTTACAGTATAGGACGATCTGAAAACACTTGTAGTGCAACATCAGCAGAAATCCAAACTGTGTCTGCAGGGTGGGCACGTCAGAGTGTGCGAGCTGCTGCTGACGGCCGGGGTTGACCCAGACGAGTGGGCGGATCGGACGACTGCCTTGGACGTGGCCGTGTCGCTTTGCCACCATGGCGTTGTCAAGGCTCTTGAAGCCAAGCGCGCCCGGCGATTCCTCGAATTGCCGCCGGATCGGCGGCGCTCCGAGGCCTCGAAGAGCACGAGAATCACGCTGATGAGCAAGCAGCGCCCTCCTCGGAGAGCATCCGGACGGGGCGTCGTGGCCACAGTTGCCGACCAGCCTTAGGTCTTAGGTGCCGGTTTTCAGGCAAGTTGCTCCGCGCCTTTTGCGTGAGCTAAGGTCCTCTGGGGCTCCGCCTCTCTGCTGCTGCAGCCGCGAGTTCGGATTCCTGCGGCCGATGAAGCTGAATCCGATGAGGAAGAAGACGCGGAAGCTTGAATCGCGTTTCAAAAAGGAGCATGCTTCCATGTGCCCAAAGGCTCCTATGTGGTGACTTTTGGGGTAGTAGACTAGAATCCCCTATAACTCGAAACTACCCCAAAAAGGAACTACGTTGGAGCCTTCAGGTATCCACCACCCAAGAAGCGGAGTTTGGTTGCATCTGCGCCCTGCTAGCCTTTATGTCAAAAAGCCCCTAAGTCGTTGAAAACCAAACTTTCAAACCCCCAAAACACCCAGCAAGCCCTCTGAACCCGAACTAGATCCTCTGAACCTCCAAGTACACCCGAAGAAATCCTCTGAACCGCCTCCCCCCTCCCCCCCCCTTTCTTTCAAAACCTGAACTTCAGCGTCCGGCCAGGCTGCAGCTTGGCGCGCGTGTGGACGGCGAGTGCCTGAGGCGCCAGGGAGTCGCACCGAGCAGGTCCGCGGACTCGGCGCCCTCCGCGGAGGTGCTGCAGTCACTCAGAGGGCTCCCTGAAATGAAGGGCAGTTGAGCTCCCTTCCGCGGGACCCTATAAACCCGACAGCCCTGAAACCCTGAACCCTTCAACCCTTTTTGTGCACTGAAGGTGTCTGAATTCAGCGTGGATAAGTTGTTGCATGTTGTTGCGCTTTCTGGGAGTGCAGGAACATGGCCAAGGGTGTTTTGAGCCCATCCCGGGTTTTCGGGTGGGTTTTAGGGTTGAGGGTTAACTTCAGGGTCGGTTTCGGGTTTAGGGTTTAAGGAGTTTAAGGCTTAAGGGTTGAGCCAAAATTCTAGGTTTTTTTTCTTTCGGGTTTGGGGTTTAGGGGGTTTAGGTGGAGGGTTGAGGGTTTAGGGACCCGCGCTCTGCTTTTGGACATCCGAGCGGGCCGACCAAAGCAGCGTCTGTGTCCGTTGATCGCTCCATGCGGAAAGGCTCGAAAAGAGAACTCCGTGCACCTGCGCCTCCCTCAATACTCCTGAGAACGAAATGAAGGTTTAAAGGGTGGTTTAGATAAAACAACTCTCTGGATAGAGATTTGAGTGATGTGGTGTGTATGATCGTAGGCCTATAGGGTTGTACCGGCTACGACATCTATTGTGCAACTGCCCGGCAAGGCAGAGGGCGTTAACTTTGGGCGGCTTGCTGGCGCCTTCCTCAGTGCCCTTCCTAAACCCAAAACCCTAAACCCTAAAGGCCTTTAAACCCATCAAGGCCCCAAGCACTGAACTGAGTTCCGGGGCTGCGTCGTTGCAAGCCCGCATGATCGGCGCATTCCTGGGCTTGAATTCCTCAGGTGCTGTGAGCTCGGACTTCAGGAGTGCACAACAGACTCACAGCCTCCCGATAAGAACGCCCACATCTCCCAAGCCTCCGTGACTGTTTGGTAGAGCGGCTGCAGCGGTCACTGACATCCATACTCCTCGGCCCCCTATAGGCGGCTCAGGTGGCATCCTTGCGACGGCCCTACGTGGCACGGAGGCCGTGTGTCCGCGCCCTGGCTGAGGGCGTGGGCATGTCCTGGGTACAAGAACATAAGAACAGAGGCGGAGGTGTCCTTTTAGGGTTGAGGGTTCTTTTGGGACCCTAAACCCTAAACCCTAAACCCTAAACCCTAAACCCTAAACCCTAAACCCTAAACCCTAAACCCTAAACCCTAAAGCCGTTTGAGCCCTGAGCCTGCGCCGAGATGTCGATGGTGTCGGCACGCTCGCCCTGAGCAACGCAGCCAAAGCCGTTGCGCTTGCCAACTCGATGGCTGAGATGCAGGCTGGAAGCTGGGTTTAGGGTTTAGGGTTTAGGGTTTAGGGTTTAGGGTTTAGGGTTTAGGGTTTAGGGTTTAGGGTGGTCCCTTGTTTTGATATTAGGGGCTTTCCGAAATTCGGGGGTACCTTATTGGGGTCCTTGCTAGAAGGGAATCCTTCTTTTTGGGGGTCTATTGTAGATGCGAGCTCGAAGCTGGCTCACTAGTGGCCATTTGGGTAGTTCTCTAAATTAGGGTCCCCTTTTTGGGATCCCTCTTTTAAAGGGTGCCATCTTATAATGGGTACCCAAAGAGGGACCCTACTTGAGGAAACTCGCCATATTCATGTTCATTTATTCACAACCGATAACCAATCCCCCATTGTGCATCAGCCTATGTGTCTCAGGGCAATATGTCCAGGCATTCTCTCTTTGGGGCAGTTGCGCCATTGGAGGCTTGATGACGTCTTACAAGAATGCTTGAGAGGGCGTGTCGCTCGTAGACCGAACATGCCTTATTCAATGCATTCCCACGTAAAACGCGCTCTTTCCGAGCAATATGTCGGACGTTAGAGAGAGAGAGAGAGAGAGAGAGAGAGAGAGAGAGAGAGAGAGAGTGGAGAAGAGAGAGAGCGAGGCACCCATCACCACAGTAAACAAGACCATTGATGGAGGCGGCATCGAAGCACCTCGCTTTTCAGCCGCAGATGGCCTCTGAGCAGGCCGCTGGGGATCGTTGCCCGACATGTCTTGCAGCTTCTCGCAGCATCTCTCCAGAATGCTAAGAGCCATCGAAGCCGTAATTGTACTCAGAATCACAATCACAATGCAGAAGCTCAATAGAAATAACAACACCGCACCAGGCCGATGATGTGGAGCGCAGGCCATGCTGATGATGGTGACCGGTGACCCCCACGACCCACGATGGTTGGCCTTGCGTTGCCCAGGCTCTGCCGACTGGTGGTGAGGTCAAGGACCCCTCAGCACGGCGAGGAGCCGGGATTCCCACTGGGATACCCACTGCACCTGTTTAACAAAATGACGGCCTGGGGGGGTGGTAGGAGCCCTAAACCCTAAACCCTAAACCCTAAACCCTAAACCCTAAACCCTAAACCCTAAACCCTAAACCCTAAACCCTAAACCCTAAACCCCTGAACCCTGAACCCTGAACCCTAAACCCTAAACCCTAAACCCTAGACCCTAAACTGCTGTCGCGACAAGGAGCCTGAGGACTTCTCCAAGGGTGGCCTCTTTGTACCCACCAGCTCCCCTGAAGCGGAAGCCCGGGTCTCTGTCTGCGCTTCTGCTGGGAGCGATGTTGTTAGGGTTTAGGGTTTAGGGTTTAGGGTTTAGGGTTTAGGGTTTAGGGTTTAGGGTTTAGGGTTTAGGGTTTAGAGGGTTTAGGCTTTGTGGGAGTGTGGCTCGCAGGGTTCCGCGAAGAAGACAACCCCGACGTCGCTGGCAAGGATCCTTTGAGCCGATAGCTGTTAAGGGTTTCGGGTTTAGGGTTTCGGGTTTAGGGTTAGGGTTTCGGGTTTAGGGTTTAGGGTTTGGGGTTTAGGAGGGTTTGCGATGATTCCAGGACCGTGCTGGGACACTGGATGCGCTACACAGTTCCTGACCTTCGCCAGGCGGAGTCCTGCGCACATGGGGTTTAGTGTTTAGGGTTTAGGGTTGCATGCGGGTTTGTACATCATCTAACCATGCTCAGAGCTGCCCATCAACTGTCAGGAGCCCTAACCCCCTTGAAACCCCTAAACCCTAAGCCCCTAAACCCCTAAACTCCTACAGCCCTAAGCTCCTACAGCCTTAAGCTCCTAAAACCCTAAACAACCCCTCAACCCCGAAAACCCCTAAGCCTCAGCCCTTGTTCGTGCTCTCGGCAGGCAGCACGCGCGGCGGCTCGAGCGGCCAGCTCCGGTCAGAAGGTGTGCTCAGGGCTCAGGGTTTGAGGGCTCAGGGTTTGAGGGTCCAGGGTTAGGGGTTCAGGGTTTAGGTTTAGGGTTAAGGTTTAGGGTTTAAGGTAGGGTTTGGGGCTTGAGGGCTTGTTTTGAGGTTTTGGGGTTTAGGTTGTGTGCTTGCTCTTTTGGCTGAAAAAGGGTTGTATTTTCCGGGGGGGGGGGGGGCTTTGAGGAATTTTGTAAGAAAGGCTTTAGAGTTTCAGGGGTTTGGGGAGGCGTAACGTTAAGGGTTTTGGGCTTTAGGGTGTTTTCAGTTGCCTAGGCGGCTGAGTGTTCATGCTTCAGAGGCTAGAGGGAGTACAGTTGCCTTACTGTTGGTAATCCCAAAAGGGGTTTGGGGTACCTCATTCCCTCATTCCCTACGAACGAACAGTAAGTTGCAGGCCGTAGCGACGGCATCGTCCACGCCGGGGAGGCAAAAGCCTCCGTTCCTGGTGGCCATGGGGCCGTCCGGGCCCTAAACTCTGCTTGACTCTGCTTCTTGGGATGTTCCCTTAGACTACCAGCTCCTTAAGAGGGATTCTTGTACCGCCTCGTAGAATCCTTAAGAGGGATTCTTGTACCCATCCCTATTCAGGAGCTGTTCGTATAAGGGGGGAACATCCCAACCCTGAGCCCTAAACCCTAAACCCTAAACCCTAACCCTAAACCCTAAACCCTAAACCCTAAACCCTAAACCCTTAACCCTAAACCCTAAACCCTAAACCCTGAGCTCTTAAACCTGGACGAACGGAGGCCTTCGATAGCTCTGGGCGTGAAGTCACTTGCCTTCGTCTGTGCGGACGTCCAAAAGGAGTGGCGGGGGAAAGGAGCATGTTCCTAGGTCTCTTGCGCAACTCTGGTCCGTTTGCTTGGGATGTTGTGGCATGGGCCCGAAAACGGACCATGGTTTGTGGACATGGCCATATGACCTGTGAAGTCGAGCCGTGCAGCGGCACGGGTTTGGCCTATTTTGGCCTGTGCAATTGCAGGACCACCTGGTGCGTGGCCTCAGACGTCACAAGAGTGCTCGAGGTCTTTGAGTTTTTGAGTCTCCTTTCCACCTGAGGCCGGGGTACCACCCTTGCTGGTGGTACCTAGACTCTGGCAGCGGAAGGTCAAAATGGCGAGCGGGGAGGACCCGATTCTCAGCATTTGTTGAAGATGGTTGCGGATAGATGAGCAACCGGAGTAACTGGAGGATAAGACTTCCAAGCTGCTCGTCATGTACTTGGTGCGTGACTTGTGCGCTCCGGACACCCTACGATGACGCGGTGAGCCCGCGTGCCCCGAAAAAAGCTCCACGGATGTCTTGGGAGAGATATGGGCGGCTCAGCATAGGGTCTATAGGTTTCTAGGTCCGTTGCATAGACTGATGCTCCTGAAACTAAACCCATGGACATGTTCAATCCTTAGGTTCAGGCAGGTTGTTTAAAGAATCTGCTGAGGTTAAGGTGCTTATGGTGCTTTCAGTCTTTCAGCCGTGAGGACCTCTACTCTACACCCCACCCTAAAAGGCTTGTAGTGGTGGGCATCGGGGCTCATGTTGGCTTCGATGCCGAAGCTCCTGCTCGACGCACCCACCGTCGCTGTGCACAATCGTTGACAGGCTAGGATAGGACGTCCCTCGTGCCCACGCCCCCACAAAATCCCACATGCGTAATGCTTATATAGATTTATAGAAATTAGGCAGCGAGTTTTTTTTGGGCCACTGTTACGCTTCCTTTCCTTGGTCGCCATGTCGCAGTTCCGCCCGGAGGTGGGTGCCTGCCTCGCCTCGCCCCTAAACCCTAAACCCTAAAGCTATTAAGCACTGCTCAGAGGCCAGTGGAGGCAGATCCTCTTCGATCTCCGCTTCGGGCGGGGTTTAACAGACCTGGTACCTTGGCTAACCTTGGATACCTTGGCAAGTATCAGCGCGCACTCATGAACATGTAAATGGTGCATGCTAACAAGACATCCTAAGACACAACAAAACAAAGTCGAGCTCTGAAACTCTTGAGCCACTCTTGAGAAAGCGCCCCAGAGAAGACTGAGATCCACAGAGCTCTCCGTTCCATCGACTAGCATCATCTACCGATGACATCTTTGGCCTGCACCACCAGACATCAAAGTAAACGATGTAAACGCTACGTGATGCCACGCGGGGTTCCTACAATGGCAGTGCCACCTCCAGTTCCATTTCAGCTCTTTGGGCCCTTTAGTGGCCAGTGACGCCAAGAGTGGCTCCTGGAAAAGACTGGGCTGTGTTAGATGTCAGAATTGGCAGAATCGCACACCGTGAGGAACAACTGCGACAAGGATCAAGGATGACCTGGGGAAGGCAGAATCACACATAAGCCAACTCCTACTTCTGAGGGTGGCCTGGTGGGATAACGTACCCGAAAGAAGGAAATTTTACACGCTACGCGACTCGCGCCGGCCTGGGCCTGCCCCAGCGGCGAGGCAACCCAAACCGGAGAGCGCCCGGAGAGTGCGGGTGTGTGTGAGTGGAAGAACAAGCCGCCGGGAAATCCTGTAGAGGAGAGGGGGTTGGCGGAATCTGGTTCGCGTGCTGCCCCCTATATGGTCGGGCCCTGTCGGTTACTACAGGGGTTACCCATTCAGAGGCGAGGTACCCGCTTTAGGCTTCGGCGGATCCATATGACGACTCACGGATTACAACCCCATTCCTAAATGTCGACAATTCTGGACATTAACGAAAAGTCCTCACACACCAAATGAAAACAGAATCAATACTTGATTCATTCTCAGGTGGACATGCCGCGGATGGGCATCCGCGCATCAGGAGCTCTGTCAAACTCAGCAACAGAAGGTTGGAACCGAGAGTGCCGATGCCATATTGTTGCGTCCGCACAGATCGTGCAGAGCATCGTGGAGGCAGTTTAGACTGGAAGCCCCCGCGATTAGACCAGCAAGCAGCCTTCGTTTCCGTCGTTTCCCGCAATCGGACAGTGCTGCCGACCCGTGCAATGTTGTTCGACTCACATAACAGGTGGCCCTGTGATTGGTTTGTTTGGCCCCTGGCATCCGAGCGGGAACACATCTTGTGCCAAGCAAGTGCAAGCGCAAGGCTCCACGCCCGCAGCGGGCAGAAGTCCTTCAGTAAGCATACAGCTCGCTTTGATGGGCACCGTACCATATGAGAGAAGAGTAACGCTTAGTGACCATGCATGCTGCGTGATGCAGAGCTGTCAGCAGATGCGTACATGATACCACAAAACACAGATGCTGTCTGCAGCAATCGGACGATGCTGTAGATGGCCGCAATGTTGATTCATATAAAGCAGGTGGCCTGCTGGCTCTGACTGGTTTGTGCAAGCTAGCAAAGTGAGGGTAGAATTCTTTCAGGGGTCATATCGCTCCATTAAAATTTGGCAGGCCAACACAAAGGGTCTTCAGGCCAGAGAAGAGCAACGGTTAGCGTCCAATCATGCTGCGCGATGCAGAGCTGTCAGCAGATACCTATATGACATCAGTTGTTGCAGCAGTCGCCGATGTCGCCGTTTCGTGAGCACCTGCACGGCTCACACCAACAAGCGCAGATGCGGCGTTGCCTCACATTTCTTCTGACCGACACAGGTGTCTGAGCAGGTTGCCTGGACAGACTCTGCACTGAGGCCGCATTCGTCTGGAAGCCACCGCGTCGCCTCTGCAACGCAGGTCCCACATTGACATCATTGAGCAGCATTTGGTCAAGGCCGGTCCAATCCTGCTCTCAAGTTCCCTTGAGGTGTTTTTTGTGGGGGTGCAACAGTCCTTCTACCCTAAATTCCTCCAGAGCCGAAGCACACCCGTGCCCCTGAGAAGTCGTGGCGGCTTGTGAGGGGTGCTTTGATCCATCGCTGCGCCCTACGCCGCCCGGCCCTGTCCCATTCGGACTCGTGGCTGTGCCGGACCGACCCCCGGACCCCAAGCTGAGAGCCAGGCCTTGGTGTGACTTTGTGGTGACTGTGGACTTCGCCATGCGGACCTGCCCACTTGCAAGAGTGGTGCGTGCAGCGGTATGAAACGGTGAATCAGGGCTCCGCCCGCAGACCTCGACACGCGTGGCGCCTCTGCGGCCAGCATGCGCGGCAGCTCGCGGATGACGTTTGGTTGCTTGCACCGCTGCGAGCTGTGCTCGTGCATCTGGCTCCCCTCGGCTGAGGTGGCAGGCAGCATACCTCGATTTCCGAAAAGTGTAAAAGCCTGGCCAACATTCGTTTGACTTATAGAAAGAGTGCAACGATGTGTCCCACACTTAAGAGTATACGGAGTGTAGAGGTCAAAAATTGAAGGGCCTCCCAGCCTGCCGAGTCAAAGGGCCCACAGCTGTGGACACTTGGCGAACGCTTAGCCGCTGGGGCCGCTGGGGCCGCTGGGTCTTCTGCCCGGTCTCGGTCTGACCGCGGGCTCGGGCGTAGCGATGGCCACTCCTCTGTGTGGGACCCAAGGATGTTTGTCATCGCATTCCACTGCACCTCGACGGAGGGTTTGTACCAATGACGAAGCTGTTCTCTCTGCGACAAGCCACCTTGCGCACCAAGCTGTTCATGCAGTACTCAACCATACTGACCCAAGAGCCAGCCACAAACAATAATGGCCGAAAAATCCTGTAAACGTCATTATGTCTGCTGCAATGTGGGCCCAACAAGCACCCCGTGTGCTATCCCTTTCTACAGGACATAATACAGGACCCCCAGACCCTCTTCCGCCCCAGCAACCTCCACGCGCGAGTGCCGACTCAAAGGCGCTTATGCAGAGTGTTGGCAGCAGTCGCCCGCTGACGCGACCGCAGCTGTGTCTGTGCATTCTGCCTCCTGTGCCACAACAGCTGACTCCTCGGGGCGTGTCAACTCCATCTCGGGTTGGTGAAGTCCAGCACTATAAAGCCAAGCCCGTCCCAAACCCTGCCCGAGAAATTCAAAGTGTTCGAGGGGTCCTCACGGACAACAGCATTTGACAGCAGACCATGGCAGACCCCCTTGCGGAGGTGGAGCCCTGTCCAAGCTCCACTTCCCAGCCCAAGGCTGCAGGCACCTGTACATTTGCTCCCCCAATCGCTGGCCCAAAAAGCCCAAACTCCCCCCGCTGCGGAGCCGTGCTCGGAGATCTGTTTAAATATAGGCTCGAAGAGCAATAGTGCTGGCCAGCACTTCACCATGTTCGCTTCACTCAACGAACTTAAAGCTGCTCATAGCTCACTCTCTTGCTCGAGGAATCTGGCGGCCTTGGAGGCCACGAAGCCTTGAAGCCCTGAAGCCTCCTCCATTCCGGGGCCTTCTGGGGCTCTCACCCAGAGGCGAAGCCCAGCAGGAGGACCCCCGAAAATGGGGCCGAAGTTTGCTGCAACAGTCTGAAAAGAGGTGTCTTGGTGAATCTTGGTGAGTTCTCATGGCCCGCTCCAGGTGGCTTCCTTATACGACAGCAACCTTCGACGATTTGCACTAGATGTTTACTCTCTTTTGCCATGGCCTATTTCGCCACCGACATGAGCTGCATTTCCAATCGAGGCTTTGCAGGTGCACGTGGGCAAAATGCTTGTTGGCCGGTGGCTCGGACAAGCTGGCTGGGCCAAAGTTGTGGTCTTTCCCTGTGCCGATTTTGTACCAACGACATTTAACGACATTGGGTTTGCAACCCGTCCGACGCTTGACTTTGGGCCTATCTCGAATCCAGATGAGGGAGAGCCTGTGCTCGGAAGCCGAGCTGCTCCCAGCTTTCCTTTTCAACCTAGACGGGGATTTAATCTAACCGCTTACGCGGCGGCCAATAGATGTAAACTCAATAAAAAAACTCCATCAACAGACTTGCAAGAGGAATGATAAAGGCAAGCTGCGAGCCCTAAACCCCGGACACTCTCTTTTGCCAGGGCCTATGTCGCGCCCGACATGAGCTGCGTTACCAATCGAGGCTTTGCAGGCGCACGTGGGAAAAATGCTTGTTGGCCGGTGGCTCGGACAAGCTGGCTGGGCCAAATTTGTGGTCTTTCCCTGTGCCGATTTTGTACCAACGACATTGGGTTTGCAACCCATCCGACGCTTGACTTTGGGCCTATCTCGAATCCAGATGAGGGAGAGCCTGTGCTCGGAAGCCGAGCTGCTCCCAGCTTTCCTTTTCAACCTAGACGGGGATTTAATCTAACCGCTTACGCCAAGCCGCCTCGGCGAATTAAGGGTTCACGAGGGGTAAGCGGGTGGGGGGTAGGGGGTGCCGCAGGATGCTGTAGGAGACAGGATGGAGTGGCAGGAGAGATGATGGAACGGGTGGGGTGCTCCGGCCTCGGCGGACTAGGTGCCAGAGAACCAGCATGCCGAGAGCCCCGCGAGCCCGAATCGCGCATGCTCTCACGGCATCATTGGCAAGCCTTGGCCATGGTGGGTATCGTGATTAGGTTCTTGATAGCCGACGGGCGGCCAATAGATGTAAACTCCATAAAAAAACTCCATCAACAGACTTGCAGGAGGGATGATAAAGGCAAGCTGCGCGCCCTAAACCCCGGACACTCTCTTTTGCCATGGCCTATGTCGCCACCGACATGAGCTGCATTTCCAATCGAGGCTTTGCAGGTGCACGTGGGAAAAATGCTTATTGGCCGGTGGCTCGGAAAAGCTGGCTGGGCCAAAGTTGTGGTCTTTCCCTGTGCCGATTTTGTACCAACGACATTGGGTTTGCAACCCATCCGACGCTTGACTTTGGGCCTATCTCGAATCCAGATGAGGGAGAGCCTGTGCTCGGAAGCCGAGCTGCTCCCGGCTTTCCTTTTCAACTGAGACGGGGATTTAATCTAACCGCTTACGCCAAGCCGCCTCGGCGAATTAAGGGTTCACGAGGGGTAAGCGGGTGGGGGGTAGGGGGCGCCGCAGGATGCTGTAGGAGACAGGATGGAGTGAGGAGAGATGATGGAACGGGTGGGGTGCTCCGGCCTCGGCGGACTAGGTGCCAGAGAACCAGCATGCCGAGAGCCCTGCGAGCCCGAATCGCGCGTGCTCTCACGGCATCATTGGCAAGCCTTGGCCATGGTGGGTATCGTGATTAGGTTCTTGATAGCCGACGGGCGGCCAATAGATGTAAACTCCATAAAAAAAGTCCATCAACAGACTTGCAGGAGGGATGATAAAGGCAAGCTGCGCGCCCTAAACCCCGGACACTCTCTTTTGCCATGGCCTATGTCGCCACCGACATGAGCTGCATTTCCAATCGAGGCTTTGCAGGTGCACGTGGGAAAAATGCTTGTTGGCCGGTGGCTCGGAAAAGCTGGCTGGGCCAAAGTTGTGGTCTTTCCCTGTGCCGATTTTGTACCAACGACATTTAACGACATTGGGTTTGCAACCCATCCGACGCTTGACTTTGGGCCTATCTCGAATCCAGATGAGGGAGAGCCTGTGCTCGGAAGCCGAGCTGCTCCCAGCTTTCCTTTTCAACCTAGACGGGGATTTAATCTAACCGCTTACGCGGCGGCCAATAGATGTAAACTCAATAAAAAAACTCAATGAACAGACTTGCAAGAGGAATAATAAAGGCAAGCTGCGAGCCCTAAACCCCGGACACTCTCTTTTGCCATGGCCTATGTCGCCACCGACATGAGCTGCATTTCCAATCGAGGCTTTGCAGGTGCACGTGGGAAAAAGCTTGTTGGCCGGTGGCTCGGAAAAGCTGGCTGGGCCAAAGTTGTGGTCTTTCCCTGTGCCGATTTTGTACCAACGACATTTGGGGTTTGCAACCCATCCGATGCTTGACGCTGGGCCTATCTCGAATCCAGATGAGGGAGAGCCTGTGCTCGGAAGCCCTTTTCAACTTAGACGGGGATTTAATCTAACCGCTTACGCGAAGCCGCCTCGGCGAATTAAGGGTTTACGAGGGGTAAGCGGGTGGGGGGTAGGGGGTGCCGCAGGATGCTGTAGGAGACAGGAAGGAGTGGCAGGAGACATGATGGAACGGGTGGGGTGCTCCGGCCTCGGCGGACTAGGTGCCAGAGAACCAGCATGCCGAGAGCCCCGAGAGCCCGAATCTCGTATGCTCTCATTGCATCATTGGCAAGCCTTGGCCATGGAGGGTATCGTGATTAGGTTCTTGATAGCCGACAGGCGGCCAATAGATGTAAACTCCATAAAAAAAACTCCATCAACAGACTTGCAAGAGGGATGAGGAAGGCAAGCTGCGCGCCCTAGACCCCGGACCCAAGAAATTTCTCGCGTGCTTGCCTTCCTGTGTCCTTGTGGGAGTTGGGAGTTGGGACTCTCCAAGGGCTCTTCTCGGGGTTGTTGACAGCAGACCCTTGCGGAGGTGGAGCACCGTCAAAGCTTCACTCCTGTACATCTGCTCCCCCAATCGCTGGCCCAACAGCCTAAACTCGTACTTCGCTTGCGCGTGAAGGTGATCCCCATTATAACTCCATAAACAGACTTGCAAGAGGAATGATAAAGGCAAGCTGCGCGCCCTAAACCCGGACCCAAGAAAATTCTGGCATGCCCGACTTGCTTGGGGCAAGTTGAGAGGTGGAAAGTGAAGAACATCAGGCTCGGCAAGTGCAGCTTCGTAAACCCTGCTCTTGTCTTCGTCGAAGTCGCCTGACTTCGCCGAGGTTCGTTTTCGAGATTTTGGGGCCCTTAAACATGGTTTTCGTGGCATGGTTCGCTCTGGGTTGCCTGCGAGCTCTTCAGGCTTGTTCATGGCACCCGCTTTCACGAGAGTGAGGAACCCGTGCTGGTCGGACTTTCTGCTTCCCGGCAGGGCTTCACCACCTCTTACAAAAGTTTGCTTGTTGAGATGTGAGCAGCATGCCTCTGGCAGTTTGTACAGCGGCCTCGCATGTCTGCCAAACGCTCGTCAAGCCTGGTTCGGTGTCACGCCGACTGACCTGCTTAAGACAGGGCGAGCAGGACCTTTCTTCTTGAGGGGCCTGACTTGTCCGTTAACCGAGCGAGTTTCGAGATTGTTGCAAGAGGGATGATAAAGGCAAGCTGCGCGCCCTAGACCCCGGACCCAAGAAATTTCTCGCGTGCTTGCCTTCCTGTGTCCTTGTGGGAGTTGGGAGTTGGGACTCTCCAAGGGCTCTTCTCGGGGTTGTTGACAGCAGACCCTTGCGGAGGTGGAGCACCGTCAAAGCTTCACTCCTGTACATCTGCTCCCCCAATCGCTGGCCCAACAGCCTAAACTCGTACTTCGCTTGCGCGTGAAGGTGATCCCCATTATAACTCCATAAACAGACTTGCAAGAGGAATGATAAAGGCAAGCTGCGCGCCCTAAACCCGGACCCAAGAAAATTCTGGCATGCCCGACTTGCCTTCCTGTGTCCTTGTGGGAGTTGGGACTCTCCAAAGCCTCCTCTCGCAGTTGTTTTCAGTTCCCCCCCCGCGCTTAATAAATGTAGGAGTGGCGGGGGGTACATAATTGTAGGACATGTTTTCCTACAATTGCCAGTGTCCGTGTCCAGCGGAAATAAGCAGGGGTATGCGTGGCTTGCCCTGCATGAGGTAGCTGCAAAACGCGGTCCCAGACGTGGGATCCGACAATTGACACATTCATATCGGTGGGGGAGTGAAGATTGTTTGTTCTCGCCTATCTGTCCTGCTCCAGCTGTAGGGCATTAAGTCGCGGGGGCTTGACCCACATAATCCCTAATCTACATTTTGTGCCCCGCCCCGTCCTAAGCACGGGGGGCTGTTGACAGCATTTGACTGCAGACCATCTTCCCAGCCCAAGGCTGTAGGCACCTGTACATCTGCTCCCCCAATCGCTAACCCAAAACCCTAAACTCGTACTTCGCTTGCGCGTGAAGGTCTCTGCACGGATCCCCATTTCATGTGGCGGATCGCCGCAGGACGGGTGGTGGAACTCTTGGTGAGTTCTCATGGGCCGCTCCAGAGATGGCTTCTTTAAGATGGCTTGTCATTAACAGCGCTGCTACACTTCGTGCACAGCGTTTTTGATCGAGGACCCTTTGCGGAGCTAACCTCTAACCCAAAACCCTCAACCCGAACTTCGCTTGCACCCGAAGGTCTCTGCAAGGATCCCCATTTCATGTTCGGGTCGCTGCAGGACGGGCTCTGTCCGCCGAAGTTTGCTGCAAAAGTCTGAAAAGGGGATCTCTTGGTGCATTTTGGTGAGTTCTTACGGGCCGCGCTCAGAGAGTGAGATGGCTTCTTTGTATGACAAGATGGCTTGTCATAAACAGCTTTGCCACATTGATCGAGGACCCCTTGCGGAGCTAGAGCCCTGCCAAAGCTCCAAAAGGCTGCCGGCACCTGCCGCTTGCTCTTGCCTGGGAGTCTATGCAGAACTGACAGAAAAATGTCCACCCTGAAATGGTGGCTGGCTTCCGCGGATGATTCTCAGGAGCGGATGCTCTTCAGCACTGGTCCGTCAGAGCGTCGAATCTAGCATATAGGGTTGAGCACGGGGAGTACAGCTTATTTCGCGCACAACGTGTGGCTGCCAGATCTTAACTCAGCTAGCCCAAGCCCTCAACCCTTTCTCTGTGGGTCTCCTGCTCCTCAAGTCACCTAATTTGCTCGGATTCCACAGAGTTGTTCAGGGTTGTAAGGGTTTAGGGTGAGTCTTGGCGCCAGGATGCGCCAGGAGTGCCCAATCGCCAAATGATCCCTACAGTGAGCGCAAGCAAGCGTGTGGAGACTGCAGGTGGCCTGGTGTTTGCCGGCTCTGCGGATCTGGCTGAGACTCCATGCTCAGGGCCTCTCGATTGAGGTTATCTAAAATGCCTCAACGGCCATGCATCTTGGTGGAAAGATGCTTGTTGCCAGGATTGGGTCAGAAGGTTGGCTTGCAAAGGGCGCCCCATCTCGGGCAACGGACCAGGATTGCTCAAAGGCCCATTTGGTTTCTGAATGCGGGTGCGCCTTCAATAGGGCTGCAACACTGAGCGACAGACAGCAGCATAGCTGCGTGTTGTCCGCATTGACCGTGAAATCAACATGCGCTCCCCATGCGGCAGCTGAGTTCCGGACGTGAGGTTCGGCAATGTGCGGTGAGAAAGCGTCGTCGACGGCGAAAGCCGCCAAGATGAACTGAACATCAGGCTCCCCCATGTCGCTCAATGTTCAACGGGAATGACGAGTCACATCAGCAAGCCTTGGGCCGCCAAGCCGGGGCGTTTTAGGATACAGCATGCTGCATGTGAGCTCGCGAGTCGCCGTCAAGTTGGGACGAACTTTGCTCACCAGCAGCCAGGAGGCCTTCCGATCGGACTCCCGCCTGAAGTTGCAGCGGGCCCGCGTTATCAAACAAGAGGCCAGGCTGGGCATCCTCCCGAGCCCCGACTGCAAGCGCCACTGGCCGACGCACGGGTGCATGGCAGGTTGCGCAAAGCCCTCCAAAATTAAGTACTTCTTTTGCCTTTGGCTCTCCGACGCACGGCTCTCCGGAGGTTACATTCTTGCTGAATCGTGCACATCCTCCTGAGCCCCGACTGCAAGCACCACTGGCCGACGCTTGCTTGACTTACTGGTTCTTCGTAGGGAATTAGGTATCTTAAGCCACCCCCCCTCCATGTAAGGTTTTTAGGGCTCATTGGACAGGGTTCATGTTTAGTGGTACCGAGCTCCCCAAAACTCCCTACGAAGAACTGGTAAGTTGAAGCCTCCGGCTCGACCCCGCCGGGTTTCGGTGACCAGCCCAGAAAGTAGCGCGTTCAGGGCTTGGTGCCGTAGGGACCTAAAGCCTGATGGCTCTTGGCCCTCCGGCGACTTCGCAGCTGGAAAGTGGACCACAAGTGGCGAAGAGAAAAAGGGTGCAACCAAGGCCGAGAATGTGATGTGTTTGTATTATGTAATTTTGGGGCGCTCTTTCATGCTCTCATGTACAACCACAGTTCGTGTCGCAGTTTGCAAATGCGAAAGCCCAACTTCGTTAAATTGCTGCATATGCTAAGCTTGATAGAGCAGTTTGTGAGTAAGCACAGATCAGAGTAAGTATTCAGAGATATAAACGTTACGAATTCGATGTTTTCGTTTTGCTGTGTTCTCCTCTTGGCAGAGAGAGACAGAGAGCTCTCACACGTGGTAGCGTGGCAAGTCCAGCTTCGCAGTTGGTGGGTTTGCGTGTGGACAACCCCGATGATAAGCCCTGACTTGAGAGAGCCGCAGTGCAACTAACCTTCAAAGCGTTGGCAGAGCCTTGAACGAGCGCGACTTCGGAGAGAAATTCACCGCATCCCCAGGATTTGGCTCAAAAGTGCATTGGAGAGCTGAGCCAACTTTGCGTGCATTGGAGCAAGGGTCAAAACTATGGCAATTGCGGCTTTGTCTTGGTAGGACATTTGCATGCTGAAGCATCAAAAACCCTGTAAAGCGACGGGGAACACCGACAAGGTAAAGTGCATGCGTGTCTCCACCATGTCTGCCTCGTCACCCTTTCATGCTTATGCACAGCTCTTTCAAGGTTTAGGGTTTAGGGTTTAGGGTTTAGGGTTTAGGGCGCATAGAAGTGTCGTAGACCGACGCGAGCATGATGCAACACTGCGATCACTGCGCAGCTCCCAAGGATCCCTCTCCCCCAAAGTTTCTGAAGCCCCAAGTGCCCCCAATCTTCGCCCTTAAGCCCTTGGATCTTAAGCTATCTGTGCAGAGAACAGGAGCCCTTCCCGGCAGTGTGGCGATCGCGGCTACAGGACTCGAGCTTGGCCTTAGCCATTGGGGCTGTTCTTGGGGGAGGTTTCAAGGTTCGCGAGGGGGTCGAAGTGCAGCTGCTTAGCCGTGACTGCATTCGCGGGAGTTTGACGCGACAGATGGTACAGGTCACCTGAGCTCGACCGAACAACTGACAATAATCAATAAGCACACCAAAATGTGTGCGGTGCGAACTCAAAGCACAGAGAGGAAAGTCGGGCTGCGCAAATGCGCACAGGGCAGCGTGCTAAACCAAGGAAACCCAAAGCTGTAAGAGTTCAATGTTCTCTCAGATTCGCTCCCTTCGGTGCTCGGCTACGCGCATGAGATACCGAACGGCCTCCTCACTACCCCTTGGAACGTAACGAGTAGACATCCCCAACCCTGAGCCAAAACCGTGGGCCACACGAAAAATCTATGCACTTCCACCTCATTAACAATGTCAAAGCTGTGAGAGAACCCTAAACCCTGAACCCTAGACCCTAGATGCTAAATCCTAAACCCTAAACCCTAAGCCCTAAACCCTAAGACCTAAACCCTAAACCCTAAACCCTAAACCCTAAACCCTAAACCCTTAACCCTTAACCCTTAACCCTAAACCCTTAACCCTTAACCCTAAACCCTAAACCCTAAACCCTAAGCCCTAAACCCTAAACCCTAAACCCTAAACCCTAAACCCTACTCCTTAAACCCTAAACCCCAAACCCTAAACCCTAAACCCTAAGCCCTGTGCAAGAAGGAGGCGGCGTGGCAGGCTGGCCGCCAGAAAGAGGAGGCCACCAGACTACTTGGAGGTTCATGGTACCTATTACGAATTATAACTGTACTTCTAACCCACTTACAAGCCCCTTCAGTGCCCTAATCTGCTGCTAATATGGTTATGAGTACAGCTATAAGTACAGCTATAATTGGTGAATAGGTACCATGAACCTCCAAGTAGAGACCAGAGAGAGGCGAAGGGGAACTTGTGCCAAAGAGGAGGCACAGCTCACCAAAAACGGATCAGAAGGTTTGAGGAAGAAGCGCGGCCGCAAAGGTTGAGGGTGAAGCCTTTGAGGCCTTAGCGTGAAAGTTCATGCAGATCACAGTACTTTAGACTTTGCGCAAGTAGCCATGATGTCTTGTAGTGCGAAACGGTCATTCCCAACAGGCCCCTCTCCACAATTAAGAGCAAGACAAACCCTTCTGGTCCGCCGCACACTAGTATTCGCGTGTGGTCCCGTTTTGCTTCTACTGCAACAACCCCTCCCCCCCCAACAAAAACAAATAAATGAATACTCCAATCATTAAGGCCCCCACATAGCCTTGACGTCGTAGGGACACCAAGAGGCCCCAAAATCCACAAAGCAGCCCTGCGGTTCTCGGGCTTCGGGTTTAGGGTTTAGGGTTTAGGGTTTAGGTTTTAGGTTTTAGGGTTCAGGGTTCAGGGTTTAGGTCATCAGGCTCCGTTGCCCATGGCTGCAGCACCACGTCACTCCAGCGGCCACCCCCTTTGCTGGACACCTGAACTCTAAACCCTCAGCCTTCTTCAAAGCAACCTCTCAACCCTAAACCCTAAACCCTAAACCCTAAACCCTAAACCCTAAACCCTAAACCCTAGACCCTAAACCCTAAACCCAAAACCCTAAACCCAAAACCCTAAACCCTAAACCCTAAACCCTAACGAAGAAGAGGATGAAGTCGAGGCGACAGACGAGGAGCCAGACGAGGTGGCACGCGCTGACTTTGTGAGGGTTTAGGGTTTGGGGTTTAGGCTTTAGGGTTCCGGCTTTGTGGGGCAGTTTCGGGTTTGCTCATAGTTCATCCCCAGCCCCAGCGGGGCGGGGGGGGCGGGCTGCTCTAAACTCCAAAGGCTTCCTCCCCCACCCGCCAAACCGGACCCAAGACGAAGCCCCTCGCCAAGACACCAAATCAAGTAGGTCCTTAGGGTTTAGGGTTTAGGGTCTTAGGTCCTTAGGGTGTTGGGGCTTTTCGGCTTTGCGGGGCTGAGATGTGAGCATGGCAGTGCACTCCAAGAATCTTCTGGGAGCAAGATATAGGCCATCCAAGATCCCTAGGGTGTAGTACGGCGTAGTACGTGCAAGGCTTCATCTGCCTCATGTCCTCTGGAGATTTTACGCATGCGACCCTCTTGAAACCCTGAAAGAAACCTAGGGGATAGCTGCTTGAGCCCCCGCACAGCACACCCCGGGCAGCACAGGAGTCCGACGAGGCCTGGGTTGAGGGTTGGAGTTTAGGGTTGTAGGGTCTGGGGTCTAGGGTTTTAGGGTTGAGGGTTTAGGGTTGCTGGGGCCAGGGCGTTTGAAAGGGGTTTGCTTCGGGCATACGTAGGGCTGAAAAAGGGTTCCTGAAGTCTTCTTTCAAATGGACTTCGGGGTTTTTGAATGCAATCCAAGTCCCAATGGCAAACCATGCACCCTAAACCCTAAACCCTAAACCCTAAACCCTCAACCCTCAACCCTAAACCCTCAACCCTCAACCGCATGTGTTAGCCAGGAGGAGCAGGTGGAGCTCCCTCAGCCCTCAACCCTAAAACCCTAGAACCCAAACCCAAAGCCCTGAAACCAGACAGCCAAACCCTCAACCGTCGACCCTGAACTCTACAAACCCTATCAACCCTGTAAACCTGTAAGCCCTATAAACCCTATAAACCCTAAAAGCCCAATAAACCCTGTAAACCCTGTAAACCTGTAAGCCCCGTAAACCCTATAAACCCGAAAAGCCCAATAAACCCTGTAAACCCTGCAAGCCCTGTAAACCCTGTAAACCCTGTGAACCCCGTATAAATCCCATAAGCCCCCGACCCTCAACCCTGAAAACATGCAGGTAACATCTTGGCACTCCTACGTGCTCTCGGGCAGCCCCGAGATCGGCTCGCCATGCCTCGAGAGTGAGAAGGGCAGCCCAATCCCAACGGCCCGACAGGCCATTGTGTAGGTCGTTCCCTTCTTTCGCTATCGCCCTTCTCATGCACCTTCGGGGAAGCTGTAGCCGAGCACAGGTTGCGCAGGCGACGCAAGTTGCAACGCCGGTGGCAACGCCGATGGCAGCTGCTGTGGCAATGCCTGCGGCGCTGCCGGTGCCTATTCGACGACCGGTCGTGGTCAATCATCTGCCTCAAAAGTTCATGCCCTGCCCTTACCCGGCGAGGAGTGCGCAGGCGACTTTGGGGCCAACTAGAGTTAGGGAAGGTTGGAGCTGTCGGTTTCGGTGCTTCCCCAATTCCTGGCAGGCGGTGCCGCAGACCCGCGTGACGCCGGTCGGTGGCATCAAGTGGGTGCGCGTGATCCCAGGAGTGCCAGCGCCGCGACTTCCCCAACCGACGGTGGTGGTGCACTATCTGCCAGTGGCCCGAGTTCTTGCGCCCACGGCAAGCTACAGTCCGCTGGCTCAGGGCATGGAGTGCAGAGAGGCATGTTGTTGTGCTGCATCCGCGTTGTCCCTCCGCTAGCAGTTCCGAGGTCACGCCCCCGTGTGGGCGCCTCCGCAGCGCCTGCCAATGGCAGCTTCAGCCCCGGCAGCCAAGTCCTTCGGGGACCTCTGTGCCGGTGACAAAAAGCACGTGGTGGCATGTCAAGTCCAGCTTCGCAGCTTGTGGGGGGGTTGTGTATCGAAATGTGCAACCCAAACGCGAGAGCCCAACTTCGCTAGATTGCATATGGCACGCTTGATAGTGTAGTTTGTGATGAACTGCTCATGATATAAAAGTTCGGATTTCAATGTTTTGCTATGTTCTCCTCTACACTCATGTCCGAAAACTCAGACCCCTGGGAGGATCAAAAAAGTAGAGCCCCCAAATAGTACCCCATACTACTACTGGGTCATGTTTGGGAACCTATAGGGGGATCTACTTTTTGGATCCTCCCAGGGGTCTGGGAAGATGTAGTGGCCTCTAGTCCTCGTGAAACGTTGAAGCACGAAGACCGACGTGTAGTGTAGCCCACGTTTTGCGCCCTAAACCCTAAACCCTAAACCCTAAACCCTAAACCCTAAACCCTAAACCCTAAACCCTAAACCCTAAACCCTAAACCCTAAACCCTAAACCCTAAACCCTAAACCCTACACCCCAAACCCCAAACCCCAAACCCCAAACCAAAACCCTAAACCCTCAACCCTAAACCTCACACCGGGCCGAGATGCTGGAAAAGCCTGAGACCTGGGACCAGATCCCCTCATCTGGCCAGAATTCAACCTGTGAACCCTGCTTGGGAGTCGGGTTTGAAAGAAAGTTGGACCCCCCTGCCCCTAAACCCTAAGCCCTAAACCCTAAACCCTAAAGCCGAAACCCTAGACCCTAAACCTTTGCGCGTCGGAAGATGCCAAGGGTCGATCTGACATAGTACGAAATGCTACGGCATTCAAGTGGACATGCAGGCGGAACCGCTGCTAAGCGTGCTTGCAACGCCTATGGACCCTCATTATCCTGATATAATATAAACCCTTGAAAAACATAAATACACCCAAAGAGCCAACCTTGAACTTTTTTCGAGTCGGCGCTTCGAGGCATATCATCCGTGGCTTTGAGCTCGAATACAGACTTGCACATGTGTGGCTGCAGATGGTTATATAGAAGTCAGGCTTACTTGTAGCGGCCCATGAACCCGCACCATGCTGTGTAGCCCCTTCAGAAGTTCTATGCATTGAAGGAGTTAGTTCTTGCATTGGCCGTGCTCCCAGAACATGCCCAAACACGTATTCAACAATCCACAGACCGAAGCCAGCTGGACCCTGGCCATCGCCCGGGTAAGGCTTTAGGTAGGGAGTCGAGCGGCCTAGCGGGGTCTCATGGTGCAGACTGTTGAGAAGCATACAGGGCTTAGAGGGTTTAGGGGTTTAGGGTTCAAGGTTTAGAGTTTAGAAGGTACCCCTTCATGTGGCCATGGCCCTGCTTAGCCCAGATGGCTTCACAGCCCAGCTCGGATCTCAGCTGCGTGTGGGAACCGGGGGTCTGCCAAGAGAACCCTGAAGGGATCCCGATCTTTTCATGTCTGAGAGCGCAACCCTACACCCTAAACCCTAAACCCTAAACCCTAAACCCTAAACCCTAAACCTTCAACCCTAAACCCTAAACCTTAAACCCTAAACCCGCAACAGCACAACAAGTGTTAGCAGCGATTTTGAAGCCGACGCTTCCTGTTGTGAGTAAGCTTGCGATGGCGGGTCCGGATCTGGGGGTATGGGGCTTAAAACTTAGACCCTGCACACCCTAAATCCTAAACCCTAAACCCTAACGCCCAAAGCCTACACCGGCAACCCTGAGCCCTGGGCCCTAAACCCTAAACCCCGACCAAAGGCTGCGCAACGGGCTCGAGGGCCATCACGTAGTGTCGCTAGCCGCTAGGACATGCGTTTAAATGTCGCGCGTCAGCAACAGGCGGGGCTATGAAGCTACGCGGATGCCGGGATACTTCTGCCGCTTGGTTCTGTTTAGTCATGTCCTAAAGAAGTGGATGCAACAACTCGCCCTCAGATCATCTACCGCCCTCCAAGCATGGGCCAACGCAACAACTTACCCGCACGAAGAAAGAGCCCCCGACTGCCGAGGCTCGAAGCCTGCCGTGCTTCGTCCAGCCTCGACTCCCACGAGCAAGTCTGTAAAGTCTCTGATACCCCAGGAGCCCGTGACCCTCATGGAGCCGACCATGCTGCAGGCTGGCCTGCAAGTGCAGCCGGTCCGGGCGCCGGCACCGCCCTGGACGCTCCAAATGCCGGCGTCACCCAGCTCCCGGCTCTCCTACCCTTCCCACCCTTCCCCCTACAGCTTGGCGCCCACGGCCTCGACGGCCTCGACCGCCTCGGCGGCCTCTGCATCGGCGGAGCCCGCGGAGCCCGCGGAGCCCGCGGAGTCAAAGCCAGCCCCGACCCCGCTTTGGCCTGAAGGTGGCGGAAAGATCCGGCTACCTTGCAAGGCGCCTTCCTGGATCTTCTCTCCCTCTCCCTCTCTCTCCCTCTCTCTCCCTCTCTTTTTGTTCTCTCTTTCTCTCTCTTTCTCTCTCTCTTTCTCTCCCTTTCCCTCCCTCCCTCCATATACCTTAATCGGAACGATAGTAGTATAGGGTAGATGACCCCAATTTTAAAGGGTTCACTTGGTCCCCAAGGTCTGCAGGGGCGCTTTTTGTGGAGTCTGCTTGGCCGTGAACGCCCTAAACCCTAAACCCTAAACCCTAAACCCTAAACCCTAAACCCTAAACCCTAAACCCTAAACCCTAAACCCTAAACCCTAAACCCTAAACCCTAAACCCTAAACCCTAAACCCTAAACCCTAAACCCTAAACCCTAAACCCTAAACCCTAAACCCTAAACCCTAAACCCTAAACCCTAAACCCTAAACCCTAAACCCTAAACCCTAAACCCTAAACCCTAAACCCTAAACCCTAAACCCTAGACCCTAAACCCTAAACCCTAAACCCTAAACCCCTAACCCCTAAACCCAAAACCCACAACCCAAAACCCTAAACCCTAAACCCTAAACCCCTAAACCCTGAGACTTGGGAGGCCCTGGAGGCAAAGCCCTCCCCACGCAGAGCCGAGGTGCCAGAGGCTGGGGTTTAGGGTTTAGGGTTTAGGGTTTAGGGTTTAGGGTTTAGGGTTTAGGGTTTAGGGTTCAGGGTTCAGGGTTCAGGGTTTCGGGTTTAGGGTTTAGGGTTTCTTGAAGTGTTAGAAAGGGGGAGTTCCTGTTCCCTTTTTTGACAGGGTGGCCCACAAGAAAAGCCATAATTTAGAGAATTCCAAAACAGGAAGCCCATCTAGATATCATCTGAATCTGCGTGTCAGTTGCTTCCCCTAAACCCTAAACCCTAAACCCTAAACCCTAACCCCTAAGCCCTAAACCCTAAACCCTAAACCCTAGACCCTAGACCCTAGACCCTAGACGCTAAACCCTAAACCCTAAACCCTAACTGGATTCCTGGAGGCAAGGACGCCGGAAGGTGTGAAGACCAGACGCCCTCCTCAGCGGCCCGTGAAGGTGCCCTGCCGGCAACACACCCCCAACCTCCCCACCTGAAATATCTGAAAAAAGAAATCTCATATGGATGCTTACACACCCCTAAACCCTAGGCCCTAAACCCTAAACCCTAAATCCCAAACCCTAAACCCTAAACCCGTTTTTGTTCTCTGCCTCTCTTACTCTCTGTCTTCCTCGTTGGAGCTTCTTGGCTTTGATGCCCCCCCCGTGGTGCTAGGCGCGCCTCTCCTCAGCAGGAGCAGCGCCTGGCCCCGGCCCCTGAACCGCAGGGTTGGACACACGCTGTTGCTGTAGGGACTCATTTTTGGCGGTTTGGGGCCCAGAGGCCTTCCTTTTGTAAGGTTCGTTTAGGGTTTAGGGTGTAGGCTTTAGGGTGCTCTATGAAACCCCGAATACCTGAGCCGCAAGCAGTGGATGGGACGATGGAGAGAGGCCTTGAAGTAATCAGGGCATTGCCCTGCTTCTTCGCTTGGGAGTCTTGGGTTTCGGGTTCAGGGGTTAGGGGGTTTGCAGTCTAAGGTTTAGTCTTGGGGAGTCGGACCAAAAGGAGTCTTGGGAGCTCAGGGGTTTAGGGTTTAGTAAGTCTAGTCTTGGGGCCTTTCTTGTGAGTCTGACCCCAAGAGACAGCTGATGAACTGTGCTGAAGCCAAGGGCTCGAAATAACGGTTCATGTCATGCCATGCTTCCTGGAAGGAAGCTGTTCTTCACCTTGCAGAGTTCCAGGGGAGCAGCGTCCAAGGCGTCCGGGTCGGGGTGCTCCGCAATGTGGCCGCCAACTCGGCGGGCAAGAAGAGCTGCTGGCGCAGAGCCCTCCAGCTGCTGCCGTCTCATGGTGAGGCCGGCGCCAAGAATGCTCTGGTTGCCCATGGCATCGCCGTGGACTCGTGTGCCAGGGCGGCATCCTGGGCACGAGCCCTACAGATGCTCCAGTCCTGGGCCCTCCAGGGCCAGGAGGCCTCGCTTGTGGCGCTCGGGGCTGCGGCCCGAGGCCTTGCAGGCGACAGCTGCGACAGGTGGCGCCTGGCACAGCTCTTGGCCTCGGAGGCACCCAGCATCTTCGTCAGCAACGCGGTGCTGGCTGCGTGCTGCCGTGCGAGGCTGTTGCAGCAGAGCCTGCGGCTGCTCTCTGCGATGAAACAGGATGGACCAGAACCAGACGTGGCCAGCTACAACACCATGTTGGGCCTGTGCGCTGAGGAAGGTCATGTGGCAAAGGCAGGTGCCTTGTTGAGGGAAGCCAGACACCAGGGCCTGCAGGGCCTCTTGATGCACAACTTGGCCCTGAAGGCATCCCTCAGTGCTTCCTCTTGGGAACGTGCAGCAGGGCTGCTGCTGGGCATGTCGGTGGACCGAGTCGCAAGTGACGACATCTCCACGGGCACCGCGATTGCCTCATGCGCAAGGGGAAGACGCTGGCAGCTTTGCATCCGGCTGCTGCGGACCCTCCCCTTCCGGGAGTTGCCATGGCAGGCAACTCCAGGAAGGACGGTGGCTTTCAGCACAGCAGGATCTGCAGCCATCCAGGCGATGGCCTGGTCTTGCGCCCAAGATTTTCTGGACGACCTCCGCTGCAGCCATCTGCAAACCGACACAGATACTTTTGCAGCATTCTCCACGGCCTGCATGGCAGCTGCTGCGGGTGCCGCAGATGCGCAGGGAGGCCCTCGAAGCAGAAGGACCTGGAGGATCTGGCCCCTGGCAGCAGCACTGCTGTGCATCTGCAAGCAGCGACACGGCGTGGCTCCTGACACCTCGGTTGGGCCCGCCATTACCACCTTCAGCAGGTCGAGTCGGTGGCCGAAGGGCGTCCAGCTGCTTGCAGGCCTGAGGGCAAATGGGCTCCGGCCGCATCTGATCTGTTTCAACTCCGCCGCGATGAGCACCTGGCGTGCGGTTTCTTCCGCGCTCTCCGGCATGTGCGCGGGGGCCCTGAGGCCGGACGTGGCCTCCTGGAACGCGCTCTTAGTGGCCAACCCCTGGGAGCAAAGCACGCAGAGCCTTGAAGTCATGGCAGCTTTGCAGGTGGAGGTGGACCAGGTGGCCGTCAGCACCCGCCTGGGAGGCATGAACGCGGCGCCTTGGAGGAAATCCCTCGCGGCCCTCTGCCGGGCGTCCGCGGGCTCCGTTGACGGCATCCTGGCTGCCGTGCTCTTGCGCGGCTGCGCGGCCCGGCGCTCCTGGCAAGAGAGCTTGCAGCTACGGGCCTCATTGGAGTGGGGGGGCTCCGATCTCAGATCCGACGCAGGACCGAAGTTGTGCCGAAGCTCGAAGAATCGGGGAATGTAATTTAAGGACCTTAACAATTAGATTAGGGTTTTGGGGGTTATTGTAGCAATTATATTCATAAAGGGGCCATAAGGGCCATAAGGGAACTACCATTCGTAATTCTTCCGACCCCCACAGTTTGCGGAACGTACAGGGATGTTACATTGGGGATTTTTTAACTTTAAAAAACTAAGAAAAACCACATTTAACCCTAATTGGGTTTTTTAACGTCAAAAAGCCTTAAGTGAGACCTGGATCATGCTTCCCTTCGGCAGGACTGCAAGACGCGGCGCTGGCGGCGCTGCAGGACTGAGTAGTAGAGTCGACAACCTTAAACCCTAAACCCTAAACCCTAAACCCTTAACCCTTAACCCTTAACCCTAAACCCTAAACCCTAAGCCCTAAACCCTAGACCCTAAACCCTAAACCCTGTATTATCTTTTTTGCACAATCCCAACAGTTAACCTGCAGCTCCGCTATAGGATGCTGGACAACACATCCCCTCCCCCAACATTAAACCCCCCTAACTTCCTAATATTCAATACTCCCACGATACTTCTATTCTAGTACATAAGCGGGGACTTAATGAGGTGGGGGGTTTGTTTAGGGGGGGTTTCATGTTGGGGGGAGGGGATGAAGAGATGACTAAGAGGAGGGCTCCGCCTGGCAGCTGAGCTCCCACGCGCTCGGCGCCTTCGCGGCCCGGCGCCACGAGCCTGGGCCGATGGCGCTCAGCGCCGCCGTCACCGCCTGCGGCGCCACCGGGAGGTGGCGCGAGATGCTGGGGGCCTGCACGTGGCTCTGCGCCCACAGTGGGGGCCTGAGATGTCAGGCCGCGCCTTTGTTCAGAGAGTGGAGGAGTAAGTTAGAAGGAGGCGTGCCTCAGCTCATGGGTGCTAGTTGGAGGAGCCTTCCTTCATCAACTGTCACTGGGGTCGAAAAAATTTCTCTCGCAGAGCTTTGGGGATCTCGGCGTCTGCCTGCAACCTGTCGTCTCAGGTGGGGCCACGTCTGCGTCCTCCGAAGGTTTTGGGGCGCTGGCCTGCAGCTGAGCGTGTGTTCTGGTTGACACTGCTAGCCCAAACCCTACACCCCTACCCCCTAAACCCAAATGGTGCGGAGCCCCGTGGCGACACCCCGAACTCCCCAGCCCCACCTCCCCGGGCTTTTTCTAGGGTTTATCCATTCTATGCTCTCCAAGATCCCTGAATCCGGGAAGGTCCCCTTCAACTAGAATAGAGATCGCAGTACTGCCATAAGGAGTAGTCCTTCATCGAGGGGTGTTGGAGTGTCACCCTAGCCCTCTCAATCCTGAAAAACAACAAAGCCCTGAAGCTCCATGAGCCGAAACACTGTAGACACTGAAGCCCTGCAACCCTACACACCCTGCAGCCCCAAACCCTAAACCCCAAACCTCTAAACCCTAGAAACCCAAAACCCAGTAAACTCTGTAAACCCTAAACACTGCAAACCTGCAAAGCCTGTAACCCTTATGATGCTCTTATCGTGCCCCCTTACGATAATCCCTTTTCAGGACTGTCAGTATAAGGAGGAACATCCCAATGGAAACCCCGTAAACCCGAAAGCCCTAAAAACCTCTAAAGCCTTAAAGCCTTAAAGCCTTAAACCCTTAAACCCTTACAGCCTTAAACCCTTAAAGCCTTGAAGCCTTAAAGCCTTAAACCCTTAAACCCTTAAACTCCTGTAAAGCGTGAGGCCATAGGGCTCCGGAGCTGTGGGAGGTGGCAGTGGACCCTCCGATGCTTGCAGGAGCTGCAAGGCAAGGTTGTACAAATGCAGCTAGGGTTTGGGGTTTGGGGTTTGGGGTTTGGGGTTTGGGGTTTGGGGTTTGGGGTTTAGGGTTTAGGGTTTAGGGTTTGGGCTTCAGGGTTGAGGGTTTAGGGTTTAGGGTTTACTGTAGCTTTGAAAGATGTCTATGGCAGCCCTTCTGTGTCGAGGACAGCTTTTGTGATTCTTGTGTGTGTGGGGCAGGGGGGCATGGGGGCTTGCAACTTATCCTAACAGTTTAACATGCGCCAGAGAGGTAGAGGTGGTGGGGCTTCTGGGATTCTGGAGAGCTTTTGCAGGTTTCTAAAGCCTAAACCCTAAACCCTAAACCCCCCAAACTGTAAACCCTGAACCTTAACCCGTAGCCCTGAACCCTAAACCCTAGCCCTAAACCCGAAACCCTGCAAACCCCAAAGCCCTACGGCCCCAAAATCCCTCACAAGTCCCGCCTGGCCGTGAACCCTCTGATTAAACCCTCTGTCCCAGGGGGAGTATTTGAACAGTAACCCCATGAGAGGGTTTGGGGTTTAGGGTTTAGGGTTGGGGTTTATAGAAATTGTATAGGGTTTGGGTCCCAATAACGTTTTGACCGAAACGTTTTGGCCGAAAATTTTTTTGGAACCTACTTTTTGTTTTTGGGAAGAGGAGGGGGAGGGGGGGGATGAGGGGGTGGGAGAGGTTTAAGTAAATACTTGGAAAATTCAGCATGATGCCACATACAGTTTCAATTTATGTTGTCTTGAGGGTTTAGGGTTTAGGGCTTAGGGTTTGGGGGTTAGGGTTTAGGGTTTGGGGTCCAGAGTTAGGGTTTAGGGTTTAGGGAGTGCCCCCCCCCCCCCCCCCGCAGCCAGACCTCGATCGTTCTGTCCCGCTGCTGGCCACGTGCCACGCAGCCGCGGCCTGCGGTGAGAATGCCAGCCCATGGCTCGGTCGTTGAGTTGGGGTTTGGGTTTTAGGGTTTAGGGTTTAGGGTTTAAGGTTTTCAGGTTGCGAGGGCTTGTCCTTCCGCGTGTTGAGGGCTGACCTTAAAGCTTAGCTGGAGGGGCCTTTTTGCCAGGAACATAGGGGACTGGCCCCAAAAACGGTGGTGTGTGGGTGTTTGGAAGATACCTTACGGGGGAAAAACTGCCCTCAACCCTGCCGGCCCAGGCTTCCTGGAACTGCTGGAGTTCGCGCAGCAGTCGCAGTCACGGGCAACGGAGGCGTGGGAAGTCGGGGTGTTTGGGGTCCGGGGTTTGATTTTAGGGTTCAGGGTTTAGGGTTTGATTTTAGGGTTTAGGGTTTAGGGTTCAGGGTTTCAGGGTCCAGTGGTTTGGGGGTCTAGGGTAGCAGGGTGTAGGGTCTGGGTCTTCGGGGTCCAGGGGGGGTTGAGAGAGCTTTGGGGGTGTAGGGCTGCAAGTTGCAGGCCCTTTTTGGTCTTCGAAACGCTTGGAGCCCTGACATGCCAAAGCCCTACCCTAAGAACCCAAAAACATACCCTTTG